ATCACTCTCACACAGCTATTGCAAGCCGTGCTGGTGATTATTACACTGACAATGTTGTGAAACACTTTAGGGAAGTCATAAAGGAACGAGAGGTACAGCCCACTATGGACAGATATGTTGTGCGAAAGAAGTCCAGTGACTCTGAAGCTGGTCCTAGTGGCATTAAAAGAAGAAGGGAAGTAACCCCAGAAAAGGACTCGACACCTCAAGTCTTAATGGAAGGGGATTCCCCTTCTAAACACTAACACTCTCTCTCCCCTCCTCCCATCCCATCAATCATCACCAGATCTTCAATAAAAGTAAGTGTCATGTAATTGTGCATGCCTTTTTCAGTTTGTGTGTATTAAAATTAACATTTCATGTGGTAAAAAAAAATTTTTTTCATACTTTTGGGTGTCTTGCACGGATTAATTTGATTTCCATTATTTCTTATGGGGAAAATTCATTCGCATACCGAATATTTCGCATAACAACCAGCCCTCTTGCACGGATTAAAGTCGCTATGCGGGGGGTCCACTGTACTTTTGGCCATGTATGGCAACTGACATTTCAGAGTATGTTAAGAAATGTAGTGTTTGTATGAAGCATAAAGGAAATGTCAATGGTCCTAATCCAATCCAGGTATATCCAACCACTAGCAAACCATGGGAAAGAGTTGCGCTAGATTTGTTAACCAATATTAAATGTTCCCTCCAAGGCAATAAACATCTGTGTGTTATGGTAGACCATTTCACCAGATATTGTGAGTTAGTTCCTATTGCATATAAGACTGCCGAGACAGTAGCTAAAGCGTTTAAAGAACGCATTATCTGCAGGCATACCACCCCTAAGTCCTTAGTAACAGATAATGGAGGTGAATTCTGTAATGGGATTCTTGAAAATTTGTGTACCTTGTACAAGATCTCTAAATCCACCATTGTTCCTCATCATCCTGCCAGCAATGGGTTAGCTGAACGAACCAATAAGAAAGTACTTGATGTCTTGAGAGCCACTATCAACCCCAATAGTGAAACTTGGGATGAAGTTATACCAGATGTTCAATGTGCTATAAATTCTGCTTACAATGCTTCCATAGGTGACACTCCACATTATGCATTGTATGGTGTGGACAAGCGTTTACCCTATGAGTTGTTATATTCAACTCCGTAACCCAATTACAACCCTGATGATTTCATAGCAACTCATACCAGCATAGCTCAAAGTGTTTTTAGAAGAATCCGTGAAACACTTCATAAATCAACAGCAGAATTTACTAGAGTATAACTAATAGCCGTACTAAGCCGACAAAAGTTAAAGTGGGTTCGAGAGTAATGCTGACTAATTTCAACAAAACCTCCGCAATGCCTAAGCTCGATCAAAAGTTTGTTGGCCCTTATCGAGTAGTTGAACATATCAATGGCAATAAGTATAAGGTTAGAGAAATTAGTACTGGTAAGTACAAAGAATTGCATTTAGATCATATGAAATTAGTATGCGATGTTGATGATATTGCTACCCAGACTAATGTGACAGTCGCTGACAATCCTCTTGACTCTGTACCCTCTACCTCTAATACTCACCCAGATAATCAACCTGAATGTTGCTATTCTTTGCATACACGACAAGTAATGAGAAACCCACAAGTATCTTTTGTAGATACTTGTTCAGATCTCCCTCAGTCAAGGCATGTGCTAGCCATTGCAAAAGAATTCGATCCACCCAAAGATGATAACCATTCTGCATATGTAAATCTTACCCTTGCAGAGTTGGGTTTAAAAGTACATAGTCTGTATAATTAGATGTCCAAGATGAATGAAGTTCTCGACTGTGTGTTTTGTTATCAGCTGATCAGTCTTCAAAAAATTTTTTTTTTTTTGTGTTCACGTTCCCTCCGAATTCTGAGAAGTTAACAGTAATGATCTGTGTGCACCAGATTTGCCTTTGCTATTAATTACTTTCACCTTGTAAATATATTTATTCTTCCTCAGAATCCGTAGAGTGCATGAATACAGATCGATCAATCAATTCCATCCTATATTATACCATGATTTGTTCTTATAATTCGTAATGCATTATGTTAAAACTCATTACGTTAAAACTCATTACGTTAAAACCCATTATGTTAACATCCATTGTGATACCATCCATTAGTTCTAAGTTACATATGTCTTTGTTATTGTATAGAATCAGCCCAGAGCCACCTGCCTGTTCAGCCTATAGCATAGTAGTGTATGTCGAGACGACATACGTAACATGACCGAGCTGTCAGCATAGTTGCTGATCCCCTACATGTGTTGTATAGCTTATCTGAGTATCATAGTATCATCCATATGTTTTATATAGACGATCCCTTACAAGGCCTAGTGACTGTTTGTGTGACGTCACGTGATGTGCATGTGTACGTGAGTACCTCTGTAACTTCCTCAGTGCACGCATAGGTCTACCAGGCAACACACGGCAGGTTGGGCTCCCTTACCGCAGTCTGACAATATATTGTTACCATCCAACAAGTGTGTATATCTTCAACCCTTGTTATCTCCTTTCGAACCCCATGACACATCATGTGAATAAAAAATCAAAATGTAATTTATTTGTAAAGCCTGAAAAAATAACTAATGAACAGAGGAAATGTTAGTTTAGTACCAGGAATGAATGCACTGTTTATTCTGGACCCTATTTTGAAATTGGAATATTTTGAAATTTGCGTTAAATTGGCCAAATTACCAATTTCTTATCACTTTATTTTGTTGTTGAAACAGTTAACTTGGCGATTTCTTGTGCTCAATCAATCAATAAAATAGAAGTAATACTAGTGAAATAACTAAGAATTAGGTCAACTGGAATAATGTAATTAGCCTAAAATGGGAGTCAAAGTCGGCAAAATCGCCGATGCGTAAATATTGCTGACACATCAAAATTCGCGAGAGCATAATTTCGTCAATTTTCCATCAAATTTTGTACTTTTTGTTTTATTACCTTCAGAAAAAGATTCTCTACCATTTCATAAGAAAAAATAACAAAATTATTTTTTGAAAATTCTTGGACTCTGGTGCACACTTTGAAATTTGGCCTCTGAACCCTGAAAGGGTTAAGGGAAGCATATACTATTGAATTAAATGAAACGATTTTCACAGGAATCATAAAACAACGAATGTTGTACAAGCTGCTGAAAAAATATTGGAAATATTTTGGGATTTGTGTGGGAGTATAGGGCAGATATTTTGCAACATGTCAAAAACTTACCATCTTTATTTTTTTGTGGAATATAGATAAGATATTATCAGCAGTAAGTCCCCCAAAGAACCTTTTGTAGTGCCAGTATGGATGGAAACATTAAGATGTGTTTCCATGAGACACCTACTGTCCATGTTCACCCATCAGTAAAATGGGTACCTGGGCATTAGTCGACTGGTGTGGGTCACATCCTGGAACAAAATTTACCTAATTTGGGGGAAATGCTCTGCATAACAAGTGGTTTTCTATATAGTAATGTCATTGATGTCAGCTAGGCCTGTATACCTTGTATGTCAGACAATAGTTTCTCTACAGACAGGCACAGTATCTACCTACTGAGGCTCGCAGGACAATATGTCTATCTCTCATACAATGTATTACAGACTACTCTTGCTCTTCATAGTACTACACTACCATAACAAAAAAAAAACTGAAAGACTGGCTACAAATCACCCAGAACAAAATGGCGAGATTCATCCTGGACCTGGATACAAGAGAACATGTAGGCCAGAATGAATTATAACAACTGGACATGCTGAATGTTGAAGACAGAGTAAATCAACTAAAGCTAAATTTTATTTATAAAATTGCTCACAGCCAGTGTCCCCAATATCTAACAGCCAATTCTGTTAAGGCTGGGAACCAATGCAATTACAGAACTAGACGAAAAGAGAACAACTTTGCAATACATAGAATCAGTGGTTAAGCTTCAAACACATTTTTGTATTCAGCAATAAATGAGTGGAATAGGCTGCCAGCACATGTCAACTCCTGTCATAGCACGAGCCAGTTCAAGACGAGAGCCAAAATGTAACTCATAAATAAGGCTACAGATAGGGAGGAGAATGATTTTTTGTATGAAAATAACTAATTTTATCTCTCCGCTAGTATATCTTTTATTTTAACTACTTTTACAAGATACTTATCTGTTTCTAACTTTTAAATATAAATAATTATCACAAGGATCCCAATGAAAATAAGTCACTCTGTCTGACTCTCCTGGGTTATCCTGGGTTATCCTGGGTTCCTATACATATGCTGCTATGTATGATAATCTATGTAACTGTGTATAACTGAATTAACTAACTTACATGTACTTGTAGAAATAAAGATTATTATTATTATTATTGTTATTATTATTATTATTAACCCTGTATGAGTAATAGTACCCGGGACGTAAACAAGTGAAGGACAAATCCGTTCCCTTGGATCGAGAGCCTATCTGGAGTTTATCTGGAGAGAGTTCCGGGGGTCAACGCCCCCCGCGGCCCGGTCTGTGACCAGGCCTCCTTAGGTCAGTGTCCCAGGATGCAACCCACACCAGTCGACTAACACCCAGGTACCCATTTTACTGATGGGGAACATAGACAACAGGTGGAAAGAAACACGTCCAATGTTTCTACTCTGGCTGGGAATCGAACCCAGGCCCTCACCGTGTGAAGCGAGAGCGTTAACCACCAGGCCACCAGAGCATCAATACACCTCCCTCCAGAGCACTGTATGGCAGGTTATTACACTCATTGAGAGAAATGCTAAACCCACAGGGATTATACAGCACCTGGGTAAATGACAGGCTATAAAGTCTGATCCAAGGGAGGGGAGCCTTTACCCAAGTCAAGGAACCTTCAGGGAAGTGAATAATGAAGGTAAAAATCAAACAACAGTAAAATTACACAATACATTACTATTAATATACTCAGTGATATATTAAACCACATATTTCAAGATATATATAAAAAAAAAACCAAATTATCAAACTTATGTTAATAGAACAAGAACTGTCATACCTCTGTTGTTGTTGTTGTAGTGTTACTGAGGGCCACCACGAGTGATACTTTATTGAACCCTGCCACCCGGCAACCACTGAACCCTGCCACCCGGCAACCACTGAACCCTGCCACCCGGCAACCACTGAACCCTGCCACCCGGCAACCACTGAACCCTGCCACCCGGCAACCACTGAACCCTGCCACCCGGCAACCACTGAACCCTGCCACCCGGCAACCACTGAACCCTGCCACCCGGCAACCACTGAACCCTGCCACCCGGCAACCACTGAACCCTGCCACCCAGCAACCACTGAACCCTGCCACCCGGCAACCACTGAACCCTGCCACCCGGCAACCACTGAACCCTGCCACCCGGCAACCACTGAACCCTGCCACCCAGCAACCACTGAACCCTGCCACCCGGCAACCACTGAACCCTGCCACCCGGCAACCACTGAACCCTGCCACCCAGCAACCACTGAACCCTGCCACCCGGCAACCACTGAACCCTGCCACCCAGCAACCACTGAACCCTGCCACCCGGCAACCACTGAACCCTGCCACCCGGCAACCACTGAGCCCTGCCACCTGGCAACCACTGAACCCTGCCACACGGCAACCACTGAACCCTGCCACCCGGCAACCACTGAACCCTGCCACCCAGCAACCACTGAACCCTGCCACCCGGCAACCACTGAACCCTGCCACCCGGCAACCACTGAACCCTGCCACCCAGCAACCACTGAACCCTGCCACCCGGCAACCACTGAACCCTGCCACCCAGCAACCACTGAACCCTGCCACCCGGCAACCACTGAACCCTGCCACCCGGCAACCACTGAGCCCTGCCACCTGGCAACCACTGAACCCTGCCACCCGGCAACCACTGAACCCTGCCACCCAGCAACCACTGAACCCTGCCACCCAGCAACCACTGAACCCTGCCACCCGGCAACCACTGAACCCTGCCACCCAGCAACCACTGAACCCTGCCACCCAGCAACCACTGAACCCTGCCACCCAGCAACCACTGAACCCTGCCACCCGGCAACCACTGAACCCTGCCACCCAGCAACCACTGAACCCTGCCACCCGGCAACTACTGAACCCTGCCACCCGGCAACCACTGAACCCTGCCACCCGGCAACCACTGAACCCTGCCACCCGGCAACCACTGAGCCCTGCCACCCGGCAACCACTGAACCCTGCCACCCGGCAACCACTGAACCCTGCCACCCGGCAACCACTGAACCCTGCCACCCAGCAACCACTGAACCCTGCCACCCGGCAACCACTGAACCCTGCCACCCGGCAACCACTGAACCCTGCCACCCGGCAACCACTGAACCCTGCCACCCGGCAACCACTGAGCCCTGCCACCTGGCAACCACTGAACCCTGCCACCCGGCAACCACTGAACCCTGCCACCCGGCAACCACTGAACCCTGCCACCCAGCAACCACTGAACCCTGCCACCCGGCAACCACTGAACCCTGCCACCCAGCAACCACTGAACCCTGCCACCCGGCAACCACTGAACCCTGCCACCCGGCAACCACTGAGCCCTGCCACCTGGCAACCACTGAACCCTGCCACCCGGCAACCACTGAACCCTGCCACCCGGCAACCACTGAACCCTGCCACCCGGCAACCACTGACCCCTGCCACCCGGCAACCACTGAACCCTGCCACCCGGCAACCACTGAACCCTGTCACCCGGCAACCACTGAACCCTGCCACCCGGCAACCACTGAACCCTGCCACCCGGCAACCACTGAACCTTGCCACCAGGCAACCACTGAACCCTGCCACCCGGCAACCACTGAACCCTGCCACCCGGCAACCACTGAACCCTGCCACCCGGCAACCACTGAACCCTGCCACCTGGCAACCACTGAACCCTGCCACCCGGCAACCACTGAACCCTGCCACCCAGCAACCACTGAACCCTGCCACCCGGAAACCACTGAACCCTGCCACCTGGCAACCACTGAACCCTTCCACCCGGCAACCACTGAACCCTGCCACCCGGCAACCACTGAACCCTGCCACCCGGCAACCACTGAACCCTGCCACCCGGCAACCACTGAACCCTGCCACCCGGCAACCACTGAACCCTGTCACCCGGCAACCACTGAACCCTGCCACCCGGCAACCACTGAACCCTGCCACCCGGCAACCACTGAACCCTGCCACCCGGCAACCACTGAACCCTGCCACCCGGCAACCACTGAACCCTGCCACCCGGCAACCACTGAACCCTGCCACCCGGCAACCACTGAACCCTGCCACCCGGCAACCACTGAACCCTGCCACCCGGCAACCACTGAACCCTGCCACCCGGCAACCACTGAACCCTGCCACCCGGCACCCACTGAACCCTGCCACCCGGCAACCACTGAACCCTGCCACCCGGCAACCACTGAACCCTGCCACCACTGAACCCTGCCACCCGGCAACCACTGAGCCCTGCCACCCGGCAACCACTGAACCCTGCCACCCGGCAACCACTGAACCCTGCCACCCGGCAACCACTGAACCCTGCCACCAAGCAAGCACTGAACCCTGGCACCTGGAAACCACTGAACCCTGCCACCCGGCAACCACTGAACCCTGCCACCCCGCAACCACTGAACCCTGCCACCCGGCAACCACTGAACCCTGCCACCCGGCAACCACTGAACCCTGCCACCCGGCAACCACTGAACCTTGCCACCCGGCAACCACTGAACCCTGCCACCCGGCAACCACTGAACCCTGCCACCCGGCAACCACTGAACCCTGCCACCCGGCAACCACTGAACCCTGCCACCCGGCAACCACTGAACCCTGCCACCCGGCAACCACTGAACCCTGCCACCAAGCAAGCACTGAACCCTGGCACCCGGCAACCACTGAACCCTGCCACCCAGCAACCACTGAACCCTGCCACCTGGCAACCACTGAACCCTGCCACCCGGCAACCACTGAACCCTGCCACCCGGCAACCACTGAACCCTGCCACCCGGCAACCACTGAACCCTGCCACTTGGCAACCACTGAGCCCTGCCACCCGGCAACCACTGAACCCTGCCACCCGGCAACCACTGAACCCTGCCACTTGGCAACCACTGAGCCCTGCCACCCGGCAACCACTGAACCCTGCCACCCGGCAACCACTGATCCCTGCCACCCGGCAACCACTGAACCCTGCCACCCGGCAACCACTGAACCCTGCCACCCGGCAACCACTGAACCCTGCCACCGGCAACCACTGAGCCCTGCCACCCGGCAACCACTGAACCCTGCCACCCGGCAACCACTGAACCCTGCCACCCGGCAACCACTGAACCCTGCCACCAAGCAAGCACTGAACCCTGGCACCTGGAAACCACTGAACCCTGCCAACCGGCAACCACTGAACCCTGCCACCCAGCAACCACTGAACCCTGCCACCCGGCAACCACTGAACCCTGCCACCCGGCAACCACTGAACCCTGCCACCCGGCAACCACTGAACCCTGCCACCCGGCAACCACTGAACCCTGCCACACGGCAACCACTGAACCCTGCCACCCGGCAACCACTGAACCCTGCCACCCGGCAACCACTGAACCCTGCCACCAAGCAAGCACTGAACCCTGGCACCTGGAAACCACTGAACCCTGCCACCCGGCAACCACTGAACCCTGCCACCCAGCAACCACTGAACCCTGCCACCCGGCAACCACTGAACCCTGCCACCCGGCAACCACTGAACCCTGCCACCAAGTAAGCACTGAACCCTGGCACCTGGAAACCACTGAACCCTGCCACCCGGCAACCGCTGAACCCTTCCACTTGGCAACCACTGAACCCTGCCACCCGGTAACCACTGAACCCTGCCACCCGGCAACCACTGAACCCTGCCACCATGCAAGCACTGAACCCTGGCACCTGGAAACCACTGAACCCCGCCACCTGACAACCACTGAACCCTGCCACCCGGCAACCACTGAACCCTGCCACCCGGCAACCGCTGAACCCTTCCACCCGGCAACCACTGAACCCTGCCACCCGGTAACCACTGAACCCTGCCACCCGGCAACCACTGAACCCTGCCACCCGGCAACCACTGAACCCTGCCACCCGGCAACCACTGAACCCTGCCACCCGGCAACCACTGAACCCTGCCACCATGCAAGCACTGAACCCTGGCACCTGGAAACCACTGAACCCCGCCACCTGACAACCACTGAACCCTGCCACCCGGCAACCACTGAACCCTGCCACCCGGCAACCACTGAACCCTGCCACCCGGTAACCACTGAGCCCTGCCACCCGGCAACCACTGAACCCTGCCACCCGGCAACCACTGAACCCTGCCACCCGGCAACCACTGAACCCTGCCACCCGGCAACCACTGAACCCTGCCACCAAGCAAGCACTGAACCCTGGCACCTGGAAACCACTGAACCCTGCCACCCGGCAACCACTGAACCCTGCCACCCGGCAACCACTGAACCCTGCCACCCGGCAACCACTGAACCCTGCCACTCGTCAACCACTGAACCCTGCCACCCGGCAACCACTTAACCCTGCCACCCGGCAACCACTGAACCCTGCCACCTGGCAACCAATGAACCCTGCCACCAAGTAAGCACTGAACCCTGGCACCTGGAAACCACTGAACCCCGCCACCTGACAACCATTGAACCCCGCCACCCGGCAACCACTGAACCCTGCCACCCGGCAACCACTGAACCCTGCCACTCGGCAACTGCTGAGCCCTGCCACCCGGCAACCACTGAACCCTGCCACCCGGCAACCACTGAGCTCTGCCACCCGGCAACCACTGAACCCTACCACCCGGCAACCACTGAACCCTGCCACCCAGCAAGCACTGAACCCTGCCACCCGGTAACCACTGAACCCTTCCACCAGACAAGCACTGAACCCTGCCACCCGGCAACCACTGAACCCTGCCACCCGGCAACCACTGAGCCCTGCTGTGGGAGATTTACGGTTACCTGTATGAAGATAGTTCTTACATTCATACAAATAATCTCATTGGTAGCTGACAACCATAAATTGTTTCCAG